GCAGTTCTGCATGTCTTAAGTTGCAGGAGCGCGCTGCTAGTGCCTCAGGTCTTCTCTCTTGTAGGGGTGTTTCATTCGGGTGTTCTCAGTAGACATCCGTCTCCTCGTTTGCAGGGGAGTACGAATTTCACTTATCTCGCGACTGCTTCCCACTTTTATGAACTGGAGATCATTACCCCAATTATCTTATTTGGAGTTATGTTTCCGTATCTTTCTTCCAACATTCTGCGCGAAGTCAAGAAGTGCTCGCAAGTGAAGAGTGTATGGTGCACGCTATCTTCGACATTTTCATAGTAGTGACAGAACAGTGAGTCCACCCTGCCCATCTTATGAAGACGTTCTCGGAAGTAACCATGACCGGTGAAGAATTGCGTGAGGTAGAAATCTTGAGCTAGTCCCGCAACATATCTAGCAAGTATGTGGGAACCTTGAATCACCGTTCCAAGGCGTCTAACATGTCGTTCCATCTTGCCGAGTTGAAAGCGTTCTTGTCGTCCAGTGTGACTAACAGCACTATTGACCGTGCCCGGTGACATGCTTCTTCTGCTTTATGTACCGCCTCGACCCCTTTGCCCTTGAGTATAAGTACCAGCCTCGCCTTCTTCCATTCCTTTGGGAACACCCGGGCCCTAAGGCAGCTATTGTACATGTTAAGCATGAGATCAGTACCCGCTTGTATGTCATCGGGGCCTGAAACCTTGCCGGCTTTCATGCTTCGCAGGGCTAACTTCGGTTCCGCTGCCGAAAATAGTGGTGCCTCGGCTTGCTCCTCCGCGGGCACTGTTTCTGCTCTTAGCGGGTGTGCGTCTTTGGTCAATGGAAGTATCAATACTGAGACTGCCATAATGTCCAATCTGTACAAATGCACCAATCGTGTGATTTGGCCTTAAGCAGTCTGGAGTTAAAATATGATGTTCAATTTGCTGTGTGATCATACAAGATTCTATGTTGATATACGTGCCAAGTGTTAAGTTTTTCTTCTAATTAAATTGTTTTTTGTTCCATCTTTAATAAGTTTTTTTGTTCGATTTTGTTAAACCATATATCAACGTTGGGCAAACGCGGCTCTTTGAGCCAAATGCTGATATACGTGCCAAGTGTTAAGCTTTGCTATTGCTTGAATTCCGGCAACAAGTACTAGATTTAAAATATACTCTACAATGAAATTCGTAAAGTCATACTGTTGCATTCGCGTACCGGATATTTATTGAAAGTTATAAAAACTATCAGCTTTTTGTGTTCGCGTAAGCAGAAAACCTGCAAAGTAGGGGAAATTGAGAGAGCAAAATGACATTTAATTTTGACGGAAAGCTGCTGGTTTCTGCTGGAAAAGACAAGATAAGACAACAAGAAAACAGCTAATTAAAAACAGCTGGTTAGAATTTACGCAAATCCCTAAATTGAATTAGATGGTTTGGAATCAGTGTTGTCACTTCAGAAACCAAATTAGTGGTAGGTTATTATTAAAAACAGTGGTAGATCTCTAAGTGTGGTAGAATATGTGTATACTTTTTACAATAGAAGTGTTACATACACTTAAACTTAAATATTTTCCAAAAAGTAATTTTTCAGGCCATGAAGTAAATAGTATACGAATGTAGATAAACTGCAATCGCCTGTGTAAATAAAGTTTCAAATTTCTAGGCAATAAAAAGTAGCTTGCCCCATGTTAGCAGTCAACTTTTGTCAGAAGATTTTTTCTCGATGGAACTCTGATTATCTGCTAGTGTATTTTAGAATTCAGAACAAACATAAGTCACTAATAATAAGTGTGGTGTAAACAAGTGCAATAAGTTTTTAAGTGGAAATACATTTTTTTCATACTAACCGCCCAATTCTGTGTTTTCTTGATAAATTTTTTGTAATGAACTTTTATCAAGATTTTTATTAAGTAAAAGCTTCCTTCGCATTCTGTGTCAATATTTATAAAACAAACAGCTCTTTGATTTCCACATTAGTGGAACTGATTTCCACATGAGTGGAACTGATTTCATTGTCACATATGGGAGGTTCTATGGGAAAGTGGACCTCAGTGCAAAAATTATTTTCTTTATAAAACTAACAAACGTGTGGATAAAATATTTGTAAAAATCTTGAGTCAACCAAAAAATAACAAATTAAGTCTTTAAATGCATTTTTATTACCTTTACGTTTTGAAATGAAGTTTCAAGTAAATTTTTTGATTGAGTTGAAAGTAGGTTGTGTTGAATGCTCTGTCAAATGATTGCGATTCATAATTCAAGTATTTAGTAAGAAAAATATATAGTAGAACTCATCTGCTTTTAATAAAATTGTGTTATATATTAAATTGTGTGACTGCTTTATCTATATTATGAGTTAATATTAAGCAGTATTTGTCTTGTCCCACCCGTGACAAAAAAAGCTAAAAGTTGTTATATTTAATTCTAGAAGTTGAGGTTGTGTTTAGTGTTTGTTACATAATGTTAGAAATTCATTGCAAATATTTACCACAATTGCATTGTCGTTTCCACGTAGTTAGATAAGAATAATTCAACAGAGAAGCATGTCCCACCCGTGACAGCTATGTGTGGGACAATTGTCAGAAGTAGGTTTACAGGGCTGATAAGCTATTTGTTTGTTGAGGTGGGCACAGGGGAGGAGGGGCGATGCGCGGGCTCGTCCATTATCTACCCTGTGGGGGAAATCTCTAGTTCTGAATTGGTGCGCTTCTAGTACATTTAGACCCAGTACTGGTTCGCCATCATTCCTTTTTGCATCATCTCATCATGCAAGAAACTGGCGAATTTAACATGGCGATGTCCTAGGAAGTGTCAATTGCCCCCCGCTGCATCCCTTTTTCGATAGTTCCGAACTAGTCCTAAATTCTATAGTTCCGAACCAGTTCTAAAATCGACAGACGAAAGAAAAAAGTATCATGATTTTTAATCTTTTTGGTTCTTCCGTGTGTACGATTTTAAGTTATTTTGGAAGAAATGTGTTTTCAATTTGAAATTAAATTTGTTTGAATGATTGTAAGAAATGGACGTTTACATACCTTTAGCTGTAGCTGAGTTTGCAGAGGTGCTCGCGTTTATTTCTTAGATTCCAGACTGTCCCAAGATGTTGAAATGTTAACATAAATTTTAGTTTTGTATTACCAAGCTATGAAAAAGCATCTGCGAAGCACAGAATAGAAGCGTATTTGAACGAAAAAGCCGCCGAACACATATCTATGTAAAGTAAACAAGCCCCCCGCTGCATCCCTTTTTCGATAGTTCGGAACTGGTTCTAAATTCGACAAATAAGATCTAGTTCGTTCTGCATCCCTTTTTCTATAGTTCCGAACTATTTCTAAATTCGTCACTTTAGATATAGATTTCTAGTGAAAAAAACTGAAAAAAATTATTTTTTTAAAGTACCACTTTTCGCCGATTTTGGACTGGTGGGGATCTAGTTCCTATCAGACTAGTTCGTTTTTGGCGATAAAGACCTGGTACGGAACTAGAAATTTGATTCACTAGTCCGCGGTTTCCCTACAGGGTATATACCCTTGTGGTCAGCTGATTAAGTTAAGTTACATTTTGACCAGTTTTGGTTTTTTATTTTGTTAATGTTTATAGTTTTTTTTTTTTTATAAAAGTCCGGCCAGAACCACATAAATTTACATTTCAAACTTCTTACAAAAATTATAAAAATTCAACAATCTTTAACAATTACACCCAAAAATTTTAAACTTTTTGTTCAAGATTTTTAGGTATGGAGTTTTGTAGTCCATTAAATTCAGTAGGTAGAAGTGAAAATTTCAAGACGCTAGGAAATCGCGTTCATTTTTAATAATTTTTTTGGCTGACGGTGATATGCATTTTCTTCTATATAAAAGGCACCATCATAAGATAAAACGTGAGTGGGCTTAACCCCTACTTGGCTTCTTACATTTTTTAATAACTAATCTTTATATATGGACCACACTAAAAGCTCCTTTTCATATAAAAATTCGTACGTGTCCTACCCGTGACAAACTTTGTCCCACCCGTGACAGAGGAATTTCGGATTTTTTTGTATAATAAAGCCATAACTTTTTGTAGTTTTTGCTTTGTTTGCGTTCCTGGTTCTTTGTTTTATTATAAGACATCAAGTTCACACAGAATAGTGGAATTTTTTTCGTATTTTGTAATAACTCATATAATAATCAAATAGGTGTAGCTTTATCAAAATGTAGAATTGTTGAGTATTTTATACTTGCATTTAAACAAGAAAGAAAATTTTTTCTGTTCAAATGTCCAACCCATGACGGTGGAATCGCCCATATGAAAAATATGAATTTAAAAGCAAAAAAGCTTTTGACTGCCGTAGCCGAGTAGGTAGAGATGTCGATTATAATTCCGTGTGTCGCATGCCGGCACATAGAGTATTTAATTGTTTGAAATAAATTTATTGATATACAAAATTTATAAATTTCACATGAAATTTCAATTTGTCAATAGCATTCTCAATCTTGATAATTTATCAAGAAAAGAGCTTTTGATTTCTGTGCTAGAATACCAATCCTTGATAAATAATAAAAAATTGACAAATTATAAAGATTTTCAATTTATCAAGTGCACAGAATCGGGTTGGAAATGTGAATAAGTAATTCAAAACAAGTATTACAGTGTTTTCATTTCTCCCAAAAAGTATCGCCTTTTCATTGTCCCTTTCTCTTTTCGCGTTCGATTTTAAAATAAAGGCAAACGGTGAGAAAATTTGTTATTCCTTTCTTTAAATTCACACTCTTGTAAGGCCAAAAAGGCACATTCTCTGCCCTGTCGCCAGTAAAATCGCCTCGTGTAAATGCAGCTTATCCTTTATATACGCAATAGAAAATTTTAAATGCTTGGCAGCACCTTCAGCCCTTCAACTAACCCAATATTAACAATACATTTTCATGACTTTTAAATTCATTTTGAGGAGAAAATTTGCTGTTTAACTTTTATGTAAGCAATATTTTGGCAGCTTAGGTTAATAATTTTATTACAGTAAAATTGTGGTAGATATTTCATAATATAGGGTAGTTGTGGTAGAAGTGAAAAATTACCCAAAATGTGGTAGATCTACCACAATTGTGGTAAAGTGGCAACACTGTTTGGAATTTAAAATAGTAAAATGCGACTAATTAAACTTGTGAGAAGTAAAGTAATTATTCGTTTAGTCAGTGAACTGTGTCAGTATAAGACTTCGGGATTAGTTTTCTTACGTTTTAAATTTTATACTTTTTAATGTAAACAAAATTTCTATCAGCTGTTCGTCCAACTTGCAAGTTTCTGCAAATTTTCTATTCGCGTACTATTTTGGATTTTGAAAATTTGTCCAAAAGGATCTTTTGAATTTTCTTGAATATATATCTTACGTACATTAGAATAATAATAAATAAACACAAGATGTGGCAAATGAAAGCTGATCAAATTCTCCATAAACCTTACATAATCACTTCCCCAAAGCCCTGATAGTTTCTGAGAAATTAATTAATTATTCCTGACACCTCTTGCTTTCGATGCAAACACTCTAACTACTCACGTGTACGTGGCGTATGATTAACACTCTTTTCTGCTCATATTTCATGCAACAAATCTGCGCGTTTTCGTTTGACCAATCATTACTTTCTTATTTATCCATCGATTTTCTTCATTGGTAGCTTTAATTTTTTTCTAAAGGAACAGGCTTTAACACAAGTGCAAAACATTTACACAGAAACTGTTATTTTTTCATCAAAAAACAAAAAATCTGGAATTATTAATTAATTTCTCAGAAAATATCAGGACTATTAAAAAGTGATGTTTATACGGTTTATGGAGAATTTTATTTGCTTTCATTTGTTTCATGAATTACGATTATTCAATGGTTCGTAAGATATACGTGATTAAGTGGAACCACTCTTTTTTTTAAGCTGAATAACGATAAATTTGCAATTGCGTGCGCTTGTTTTTGTTGTAAAAGCATAGAAGTTCCCAAATTCCGTATACGGTATACCCAACGGTCGTGGGAATGCTTGTCCCATAAAGCATGAATTTGTATTGCTGTTCTATTGGGGTTGTATGCTAGCCAAATGAGTTTGGCTTTACAGCACAGCTGGGCAGCGTCTGTCCGCCGGCGGGCGACTGCGCGTCGTATTCGCGTATACATACACGCTATGCTTGAGAAGGCAGCGAAAGATTCATTCAACTGCACGACTTGTTCGCACGCACACAGTGACATCAATTGCACGCACACTATAAAAATGCTCTGCCGAGGCTGCCCGCCTCTGCTTTACAGCAACCTGGTGCCAAAATTGCTCCTTACATATATATGTAGTTCAGATTGAGAATGAGATCCGGCCCTCGATTGACGTCAATATAGAACCCTCGCTGGCTAACTGATCAACAGTCTCATTCTCGGAAACGTTGCGATGACCTAGCTCGAGACTAAATCTAAAACTTCATACTAACTTTATTCAAAGGAGTTTAGACTTTCTATATACAACCTAGATATATGGCAGCGTTAATCCGGAATAACTAGAGCCAATTCTCAAGTGAATTAAGGTCATTTTAGATGATTACATATTATTATAGAATGTCTTGTCCGAAAATTGAGAGGTTCGCACAACACAGTTTGACCCTGGTTCGATTCGCTTTTTCACTTTTCTGTTTATTTTCTGTTTAATAGTTTTATTTTTTAGTTTAACCCACGACCATTGGGAAAACCTATTTTTTATGGAATCAATGGCGCCTTTAGTCCGGATTAATGTTGTCGTCTGTCTACGCTTGGATTATGACTGTAATGAGCAGGGAAAGCTTTGATATATAGCACCTACTATCAAACACCCAAACTCGCCTTAATGAACGCCAAATCTGTTCGGATTTCTACAAGCTCTAGCAGTATGTATGTATACTTGCATTGTATCAAGGCGAATTCATACAAGATCGTACAGGAGTATAAAAGCATATGTTCGAATTCGCCTTGTTTCACGCATTTCCAGCGTCTCTTTTTCCCGAAAATGTATGAAAGGTTGCCAAATATGCAAAAATAAGTACGTAAGTCGAATATATGCCAAAACCAACAAAATTACCAGATATATGCAAAGTAGGCTTTTTCAAACATTTGCATAGATTTGCAACCCTTGGCAATAAGTTTTCCTTACGGAGTAGGTTTTGTATGGCACTTTTTTTGTACTGGTTCGGTGAATGGGAATGGACTCATATTTTGTAGTATGTAGCTGTATGTTGTTGGTCTATTTCCTCTTTCTTGTGTCGAGTAACCTTTGGCAAACAAAATTTTTCCTGCTACCCTATTGTTTTATTTACCTATATCCACAGTCGTTTTCATTGTTCGTTTCTTTTAACGATACTACTTACTATCACTCATTGCTTCCGAAACACAAATCATGGTTAACAATAACCGACCTTACTCAGCACTTTTACAGTCACTTTTTCGCACACATAAAACTTTAAAGTACCTTCTTAATTTTTGCTAGTTTTAATTGCTTTACGAATTCAATAATTTAGTTTCTTTCTAAATTGTATTTATTGAATGCTTATTCATTTTTGAATTTTAAGCCGGCGGAACCAATTCGAGAGACTGAAGTGTAATTCACAATTGCATTATAGAAAATGGGAACTTTACGTTTACCTGTAAATTATAAAATAAAAATAAAGACGCATTTGAAAAAGCAATAGACAACAGAAATGATAACTCAATAAACATGTATATATAGTATACAAAACTGTATTTACATATAATTATATGCATTCATTAGCAATAAGAATGGTTTATAGAGAATGACATAGTTGTTTAATGATGCTAATCTATAGTTGAATGGCTAAAAATGTTATTAGAAAGAAAGTAAAGCCACAACCATGCACACGCCCTACGATAAAGTGTGAAAGAGATATGCAATCGAATTTGAAAAATAATGAGCAATAATAAGTACATAGATGACGACGAAAAGCAAGAAAAGAAACAACAACTCTAACATATAAAAATTAGCTTACTTTGAACACATTCATTGAGTTAATAACACTTGGGGTGTACTATTGTTAGACTAAATTAAAAATTGAAAAACCGAACCAACCAAAAAATGGATGTCACCCTGGCATATATACAATAGCGCGAGATAGATAATATACAACAAGATGAGTAGTGCGTGGGGCAGGCGATAAAAAATTCAAAACTACAACATAAAAGCGAAAATTTCTACTGCTTAAGCGTTCGAAATAGCCGGTTTTTCGATTTTCAGTGCAACGTAAGCAGCGTGAAGTGTGCGTCTCTAGACAGTGGGCGCCACATAGTAGCATGTAGCAAAAGCACATGCGCGTAGCCGTTGATAGGAAATAACCAGTGCATACTCAAACTCATCAGTTCGTATCATTTATAAATTTGCCATACCGCGCTTTCTCAGCTCAAGAGACAATTGTCGGACATTTTGCATTTTCGAAATTAAATTTATATAAGAGACTATTACACAATGTTAATTTTTTGTTATGAAATTTATTTTTCATTATAAAGTTGGAACCTTGGCATTATGTGTACAAACCAAAAAACGCTTCGGTGTTTATAGCAAACATACTTATCGATCACTTGTTGACACATGTGGGATGGTATCTCGGCCACCGCCCCAGAAACATAGTGATAACGTAATGGAAGAACCTTCTCAAAAAGAGGCAGTAACGCTTAGCTAGGTCTCTCTACCATTAATAAATATGTCCAGTAAGAGGAACGCCTCGAGAGCATTGCTGCCACTGGCAAACACCAGGATCACTATAACCAGACTTAACCCATTTAAGAAATGGACATTCACCCACATCGGCCATGGAAAATCATGACGGAACTCGCATAATTTCCTACTATTATTACTTCCAATATCAAATTCTTGGATCGAATTCCGGTTGTTGCATAATGGACATCAGATTCAGCCAGGAAGAGGATCATCAACTTTTACAGGGATAGGTCAAGGGGTAGTTAGGTGCATACATATTTCTTTCAGATTCCACTTGTCTGATTACTAAGTGTCTTTTGATGGCTATCTGGAAAACCGCATAATAGTGTGATACGATTTCTGGTGTTTACTCGTGTTTTTTCGAAAAACGGTTTTCAAGTTGTTCGAAAAATAGCAATTTGAATAAAACCGGTTAAACCGGTTTTGTATTAGATATTTCCTCTACAGTAACACTTACTGTTAGTCAGAAATCATGACTAAAATTACAATATGACTGCTAATAAAATGATAGTCTAAAAACAAAAAACTTACTTTTATTACGATGTGAACTAAAGAGTAAAAAATAATTTAAAGAAACACAAATTTCGTTTAAGAGGAATAGGAGGTTCCCTAACTTGATTTAATTAAACTTTTAAAACCACCCTAAAATAGGATTAAAGTAATTGACAATAAAATTAATTTTACCGGAACACAAAACGTGGGGTGCTTGATATCAGTTGCTTTGAACTTTTCATTTTCAGTTTATTAATATTGAATATTGTCAAAAGCAGGACTATAAAATCTAAGCTAATGCTTCCCCACGCTTTTTTCCGGTAAAATTAATTTTATTGTTAATTTTTTAATCCTGTTGTTGTTGTAACAGCATACAAATTCCCCAAAGAGATTTTGGGGAGTGTTGCTGGAGTGGTGGCAGTCCTTGGCCAGATATATATCTATCTGGGTCGTTCCGGTTACGTAGACCCGACTGTCCTGGGAACGTTACTTTAATCCTATTTTACGCTGGTTTTAAGAGTTTAGTTAAATCAAGTTAGGGAACTTCTTATTCCTCTTAAACGAAGTCTGTATTTCTATAAATTACTTTTTACTTTTTAGTTCACATCGTAATAAAAGCGAGTTTTTAGTTTTTTTAAACTATAATTTTATTTTCATCTTCTTAGTCTTGTTGATTTTATTTTAAACTATTATAATATAGGAGATCCGGCAAAGGCACGACCTTCATCCATCTGTTTAATAGATGAAATCTACTTTGTATACAATTTAACGTGTTAGGAAATATTTCGCGAGTGGGTTGGCTGAAAAAAAATCTTGGCCAGGAAATTTTTAATTATATTCAAAAATTATTATTATTATTTTAATTTTGCACTCATTTGTTTAATGAAAAAATTACATA